GTCTAGAATGCAATTCATCACATCATGTCGCAGAAATAAATTTAAAAGCGGAACTCGCCTGTAGGAGGTCCAGTAACTGGAGTAGACGATGGATGAGAGGTAGGCTGAATAGATGATGCAACCAAGGCAGGAGAGACAGGAAACACACGTCCGCACAATATCACCTACGAACTAAAGGGAGAATGCGTCAGAAATCAAGGCCACATTAATCCCGGAAAAAAATGTGTTTCCCACCTTTTAATAAAAACAAAAGAAAGCAACCGTCCCAGAATATAGTTAAAGTAAGTTAACACAGATGCTTTTTGTTGCAAATCATATAAATTTGGTTCGCTTAGACGGTTTCCGTCCTAGAACCAGTAAATGGCTGCCAATCCAGTGCCGTTTGGTGGATGTTTAGAGATCCAATGACAGCAGATACAGCTGTCCTAACGATAAAAATCCTCAAGACTAAAAAAACGAGGACTTACGGAAGACTGCGGCTGATAGGGAAAACGAAGGGTTTCGAGGTAGTCGCGATAACCAAACCAGGGACCAAATATAATACTGGCAGGCGAGAAAGCATAGCCACACCAGGACAAAAACTGCAGGAAGACGTCGGAGAGTTTGAAGGAACCCTGGCTCTGTGCGGTGGAGGTGGCACAGATGGCCTTCATAATGATCACCATGACGGTGCCTGTGACACCAAAGCAGACAAAAGAGGCAGCATCACAAATGCGAGAATCAGAAGTAAGAAACAAAAACTACTGTTATCCAGAAAGTAGACAATAATTAAAAATAAAAAAGACGGCTGATTGTGTGTACTCGGACATTTTGCCGCTGAAAAAGGAAAAGGACTACCAAGTCCTCCACGCGGGCGGGGGAGGGGTAGCAGTGATGAGTTGGGAGTGAACTAGCCGATAGTTAGAAAGACTTGCGCAGCATTTGATCTGTTATTCATCTGTTTCTTCATCCATCTTCTTCTTCCTCTACTATTGCTACTGCTATTACTGCTTATAGTTTGCTAATACAAGCGAACATGCGAGCCCCAGGAAGCAATTGAGAAGTAGAAGACTACTCAATCGCTGGGACAATATTTTTATTCGCCTGACGTTTCGAAATCCGTCGCGGATTCATCATCAGAGACATACTCACAGAGCAGTAGCGGAAACAGTCTATGAGTGTGTGCACAGGGTTCTGCCGTAAAATTTAGACGTACAGAAAAAATCTATGAATGCCTTTGATTGCGCGCTGATTCGTTGTGTCAGCAATGACTATCTGGCCTTGTGGTGTTGACATAAGATGATGTGGTGGCCTGTGTGTTCCCCGAGCGGCGATTTGCTTCGGCCAAATTTAGTCTCAGCACTGAATATGGATTGGGCAAATCGTAGCACTTGTTTATGGATT